CAAATACAGTACACCATTGGCGAAATGTTTAACCCATTCACAATATGAAAGCTTTTTTTCTACGCTTATTACGGAATTTGACAGTTCTTATATGACTTTTTAATCTGGAATTACGAATATTCCATAAAGTGTTACAGAATAATTATTCCGCACAGGTTCTAATGATGGAATGAGCACTGGGTGCGACATCTCTATGTTTATTTTATAACTCACTTGTATTCCTACCAAATCTAGTTTTTTCAGAAAGGCCCGGTAGAAAATATTAATCGGTAGTATACAATAGGATTTAAAACAGTTTGCGTTAATAAAAATACCCAAAATATATCTTCTTTACAAGCTAGTTGTAATTCTGTTTGACCGATTTAGTAGGATTCTATTAGAATATTTAGGTTTGACTTAGTCCCAAAGAGATGGCAGCACTGGTTAATTGTTTACGTCTGTCATTACTTAATTCAAAATTTGAAATTCAAATAATAACTTATTTGTCATTCCTTACATTTTGTCCATTTATTTACTTAAAATTTGTCTATATTTATCTATGAATAATATATCGTCGTTAAATAATATGTCCATATCTACTGATGAAGAAGAAACGCGAAACTGAAAAGGCCAATCAAACAACTCTAGATTTACTACCTGCGAAGTCCAAAGAAGTTTATCTGCTAATTTATAAACAATTTATGGACTGGCGTAAAAGTAAAAATACGACTTCTCTTTCTGAGAATGTTATATTGACAATTCTTTATCCAGTAGATTAGATGTGTCTAATAAACTAATGTCTCATATTACTGAAATTGAAGCATCAAACCAGGATCATCTCAATCTTCAACTGCAGCTTTGAATTTAAATTCCTTAGTAAATAAAGAAAACTTAAATATTGACCCAAATTTAACCTTTCAAAACTGTACTATTGATCATATTACAATACATGTAAATAATAAAAAATAAAAAAAGTTTATTACTTTTTTATACTTACCTAATTTAGGTTCTGCAAAATTATGTAAGTAATTTTTATAAGCTTATTTAAAAATTATCTTATTTACTACCACCATAAAATCTAACATCTGTCAAAAGATAACCTAACTTTTTTCCAATTAAATTATTTCTCTGGTATTTTTTATAAGCGTAGAAAAAGTATAGTCTGAAACACGTTTGGAATTGCATATTCCGCTCTCGTGAAGCCGTCACACTCGCCTTCGGCTCGTGTGACAAACTTTTCACTCGAGCGGAATATGCTGTATTCCAAACTTGTTACAGAATATACTATTCTCTGTGTGGGTCTACAAAAAGGTTTGTAAAATCTGGTTAATATTTGGTTAAAATTAACAAATATTTTTTACTGTGTAATTGTACACAGAAAAAAGATTATTTTTAAAACAAATAAAATAATATTGTTCCAAGCAAATCTTAGTTTTCCATATACACAAATAATGTTTTTTTCTTACAAGAAATTTATTTATTCGAATTGTAATGTTATGTTGAATCACTAAAATTCTTAAATTGAAATTCGTCAATTTGCGGTTAAACTTTGTTAATTCTTATTCTGTAGCTATTACAACTTTGATTTAAGACTATGTTTTCCTAAAATAAGCAGAATATTTTTCAAAAAACTATCGACATATTTTTGTACTAAAAAATCGTATTTTTAATTTAAAAAGATAAAGTGTTAAAGTAAAACCATGATATTCTTAAAATAAACCCTATCGGTTCATATGAAATTCATTTTAATTTTTACAGTGAAAATATAAAGCTGTTGTTCTCCAAATGATTATAATACTGTTCTTTCTCTCTTCAAAGGGATGCTTTTTCTGTAACTTGTTTGTTTGTTTCGTGTTTCTAATAGAAACTTTCTATCTTGGGTAGAGGCAAAACCTGCAAAAAAATTGCAGAAAAATATTCTTGGTAACCTAACACTGAATGAAGACCCAAGTTATCTCCAATTAAACAAACGACAACAAAATATACCACAATTTCACCACCGTTAATTACACCAAGAACTTGCACCGGTATACCGTCATGTAAAGAAGGACGCTACGCTGAGTCAAGACGAAGGGGATGGTATCTTAGCGCATGCGTGGGTTTATTTAAAACAAACACTCTTGAATCAAATATATTTACTTGATTTAAAAATTGAGAATTTTTAAAGAAACAATATAACTATATAAAATAAAAATTATATTCTATCTGAACAAATATATTTTGTCGTTGAAAATTTTAGCCCGAAAAATTCGTTGAATCAGTTCAAGAATAACTTTTCTTTTCATTCAAACATTTTCTTATTCTTATGTTAAGTTGTTAAAAATTATTCCAAATGAAACCGTTATGTTCAAGTTAAAAAAATAATTTAAAGAAATAACATTTTCCCAGTAATCTTAGCGTTTTTCTCCAAGTAAAATCATAGTCTTAATTAGAAATTATTGGGTTTTGAATGAAGTAAACATTTTGAAAACAATAATTCTTCTTGAAATGAAATTTTATTTTTCTGTGTGTAAATGCATGGCACTTGGCACGCCAATGGCTTAGATAGCACTCAACATCCGTTGTCCTGTCCGCACGGTGGCTGTTCCCTTGGAAGATATTCCTGTCTCGCGCGTATCTCGTCCCAATCTGGTGTCGCATATTTGCCTAAACGGCACAGGGGCGTAATATGGTAGCTTTCACATAATTCTGCGGATAAACGGTCGCACGGCTCGCAGACCGAGGAGGAAGGGTTGCAATCGCGTCTCAATCTTGACGGATACGGCAGACACTTTATACGTCCTGCGCCGGAAGGGTCAAAGGTCGAGCGGGCACCCGCAGGGTCCCTGCTGGCACTGTCAACGCTATTTGTCCCTTGTGGTGTGGCTCCCTATAGCTTTTCTCAACGATAACATATTTTTACTGAAAGATATTTTGTTAAAATAAAATAATTAAAACCGGTAATAAAAACAAGTGTTTATTTAAATAAAACACCTACACACACGGAGAGAAATGTAAAGTAAATTTTAGATAGTAAAAAAATATAGTAAAATTTACTAGGGTAACAATATTATATATTCGTCAATACAATATTAAGATTGTAATACAAAATACTATATTTTATTATACAATTATAGTAAAGATTACAACACCTAAATCATAAATGTATAATATATATTTTAATTTTTAATCTGTTCGTATAGTAAATTTATTTTACTACAAATAGTAATATTTACTATATGATTTAATCAAATGTATACATTTATAAGGTGTACATGTAATATTATAGTATATTACACATTAATAAAAAATATAGTAAAAATAAAGATACTTTTATGTTTAAGGTAAATAAACACTCATGACATTTTAAACATTAAATTTTCTTAGTTTCTTTAATAAACTTTCTTGACCCATTACTGGTAATACTAATTAACTTAAAAAAGAATTGAACCCACTTGGTTGCATGGTATGTACCGATTGCGGCAAGGCCACGTCGCGACGCGTCGTTAGACGGTGTGGATCACTTGATGTTCTTACATCTCGCCTCTGTTGGCTTACCAACCATGTTATATTAGCTCAGGTATTTCTTTGTTTTGGGTGTGTTCCACTACTAAAAGTTGCTCGACAGTGTCGGGTCGACACTGATGATACCCAACATAGGTCAAAACACCTGTCTGTCGGTATTTGAAGTTGATGGAACGCACTCAAAACAAAAAACTTTGGCGAGGTGTAGGTTCAATTCTTTCTCATAACATTTTTGTATATTAAAAAGTACAATAAATATGTTACAATTTTTAATTGTTAACATATAAAAATATTCGATTTTAAAATATTTTATATTTAAAATGGCAACACAATATTTTAAAATTTACTATACTTATTAGTAATGGAAAAAATCTAATTATAATAAGAATTAAAAACAAAATTGGTTGAGAATAATAATATTTTACCTTAAGGTTTAACATACATGGATATTTAAAAATTACTAAATATGCATAGTATCTGGCAATATACAAGATAGTTGTCCCAAATAGTAATATAAATTATAGTAAAGGGTATTATATATGGTAATCAGCATTATACTTTTGTCTCCGTGCAGAAAAAACGCTTTGATATAGTCAATAACAATGCTATAATTGGTTGTTTTTTCATTCTCCAATAAAAGTTAAAGTTTATTCAATCAAATATGTTTGGAACAATTGAGGGTAAGGGATTGATGTTATTACAAATATTATATTCAGCCCATAACAAAATATTATTAAGTTAAAATTACTTGTTATAGAGTACCTAAATGGCTCTTTAGATTTAAATCTAATGGAAATGTGTACTTCCTTGAAAATTTTAGAAATGATTGCATTCAAAGTTTATCTGATCAAGGTAAAATTAACAATATTAATTGAAATATAAAATTGATTCATATTAAAAGTTATAATGCTTCAACCAAAAATTAAAAACAAATGAAATAAGAATAGTCTTTGTTTCTTTTAATGTTTATGATTTTTATTCCAATGAAAACCAAGGTAAAGTAAGTTTTTACTGTCTTACAGTGAATACCAATGTTTCACTGTCTTGAAAAATACTTGTTATTTGCCCAGTTATCATTCCAATTTTTTCAATGATTGCTAAAATTCAGACAAACGCGCCAGGGCATCCCCTGCCACACCACACATCGGCAACCTGCAATGTGATCAACTGATTAATCGGTATTTCTGGTGATTCAAAGTTTGGTTGTTTGTTATATTTGATACTTTCTTGGGGGTTGCACTTCCTAATCCCGAATTTACAAGGTAAGTTGTACATGTTTTTTAATTGCATGTCCGCCATGCATAATCCAGTAATTTAATTACTCAATTATATCTAAATAATAACAAGAAGGTAAATGTGTACTCATATAGGTATATATACCATCGACACAGTTTATTTTGTTATTCGGTGTCATGGCTTAAAATAGCTATTTTGCTTAAATGGACAAAGTTATTATTTATTTATAAAAAAAACTAATCATAGTCTTTTAATACCATCATGATATCCTTGCAGGGCGTCCTGAAAGTATATATTGCTTTAGGACTTTCAGCAATCTTTAGGATTCGCCTCTAAATACATAAGATGAAATTCCTATTTCGTTTTAGAATAACCATGTGCCATGGCAGACAGATCCTGCACATACAGTACAGTAACTGTTGCTAGTGATGGGTCAGCAACTTTCTTAGAGCCTAATATCACCAACACTTCTAGTGGGTTCCTAATAGTTCCAGAACAAACAGAACAATTTCATTTTATGGATCAAAAAACATGTGTACACAAGACTACCAGAAGCAGTTTCCAGAATTCATTTTATTTAAAGTTCATATTAATGTATTATACAACTAATATTTGCACAAGAATATACATATTTAAAGGTAAAAGAGCTTTGATTGCATTTAATGTAGCCATTAGAAACCATAACTTTATTTATGCCAATGATAGTTTTTCATTAAGATTCATTGTGGCTTCAATTAAATAACAATTTAATTCAATAATTTCTTATGGTTTAACTAACTAAGTTTTAATACGGATTTAATAGAATCACAATTTAATTCAATGACTTCTTATGTTTGAACTAATTTTAAGCAGGTTTGCACAAATAAAAGTAACATTTGATCATAGCTGTAAATTACAGCCAATGGTGTACTGTATTTGCAATACCTGAATTACAGCCTGTAATTCAGGTATTGCAAATACAGTACACCATTGGCTCAATGGTTAAACCATTCACAATATAAAAGTTTTTTCTATTTGTATAACTTTATGTCATGGGTTCAATGGTTGTCAAGTCCATTCTTTCTTCCTTCAACTGCTCCAGACGATTTCTAATATCATCCATCTTCCCTTTGATTCTATTCACCACACAATCCATATCCGAGTAAAAAACGTCGATTTTCTTGTGGTTTTCATCGCTCCACTCTTTAATACTTCTGAGAAAATCGCAATCGAACGGGTTGGCATCAACTGAAATAAATGGAATTTCCAAAAGGTTTTTCCAGTTTCCAGATAGACGTTTGATTTCGTTTCCATCCAATCTTAACTCTTCGATTTTGGCGTTTTTAATGAGAACTTCGTTGAATGATTGCAACTGATTATGATCCAGCCACAAATTATTTATTTCAGACAAACCGTTAAAAGCACCAATGTCGATGGTTTTTAATCTATTGTAGCTGAATTGTAAGGTACGTTTTAAAGGTACTCGTAAATAAACTTTATTTCCTTGTATGTTGTTAAAGGCGTTTGCCGGAAGTTTTTCCAAAGAATTATTTCTAAAATTAATTCTCGATACAAATGGTGTATTGTAGAACCAATCACTGTTCCAAATTTTTATATTATTGTTTTCCAGATCGATGTTTATTAAGTTTGGCATGTTGTTCAATGCTTTCCCATCAATATTTTCTATAGCATTACTTCTTAAATTTAAGGAAGATATATTAAGGTTATCAAATACACCTTCTGGAATATTCTTAATTTTATTTTGAGGTAAACTTATTGTTCGAAGTGATTGCAGTTCTTTAAAACAACCTGGCATCAAAACTTCTATGCCATCATTTAGCATTTCCTAAAAAAATGTTAATTAATGAAAACATAATAAGAAATATGGTTTTGGTACTTACTATAGAGACAACTTCATCTAAATTAGATAAAAAATCTTTAGCAATAACTGGTAGATTGTCGTCCTCAATTGTTAAAGTATCATAACCAAATCTAGGCAGCACTTCTTTAAGATTATTAGTATCTTCAAGATCAATAACAATTTTTTGTTTTAACACTGCCATATTAAACAACTTAACAGTCACATTTTCACTTTTAAAACAATGAAACTGAAAGTTTACAAGCAATAAAGCGTACAACACTTTTACGGAAAACATTGTTACTCGAATAATTCGTATCGTTTATTAAAGCGTCTTTTATATTTTAAATTCTTTGAATTTAATGGACTTCATGATAACCTTTAGCTGTATAAATATAATGATTATTTATCAAAACATTTCCTAAAATTTTAATGCAAAGATTAAACAATTGTTTTGTATTAAAGATAACAAGCAATTTGTTGTTTTTATAAATTATATTATATATATATAATATATATATATATATATTTGTAATAGATGGCGCTGTAATGAAAAAAAAAATAGTTTTGTTCGATTTTTCTTCTGTATACGATTCTCCAATAATTTTTGAATAAAATACTTGGTTTTATTTTTAAAATTTATTTATTTTTTAAATTTTAATTAAAGCAGGTCTCAAAATGGTGGCCTTCGACTTCAATGCAGGTAAAAAGTGACCATGGTGGGCAATTGATAATCAAAGACCGGATTTTAGGCCGTTAAAAATTGGAAATTAGGAGACCTAAATAGGCAATAAAAACCTACATTTTAGGCTAAAGTGCCAAAAAATATGCCTCAACCGCCTAAAATAGGATTTTAGGCCGTTAAAAATTGGAAAACCTACATTTTAGGCCGTTTTAGGCCCAAAGTGACAAAAATAGGACTCAACATTGGCGTAACTAGCCATCTAACCCGGAGGGGGGCTAGGGTGGGTCTGTTATTTTAACTAGGAATCTTTAAAAAACTAAAACTAATGTTGTCTCCAAAAGGCACAAATAACAATTTTTTTGAACAAACAGTTTCAGTGAGAAAGGAAGTAAGTACTACAATGTGATCTTGATCTATAATTGATGACAGTTTGTACCGCGCATGACCTTAACTGTATGGGCGGGGCTTAAATAAGTCACTTGTTGAGTATTTTTAAATCTTTAATTATCTGCTGCTAATATTCTTGTTTTTGCGATGCTGTTGGATGTTAACTTGCTCTATTTTTTTTTTTGCGTTTAGTGAGGTTCGAATTACTTTTCAGTGTTCAAATTATTGTTTTTGTGTTGCGTTGAAACTTGTTTTGTTTGTGTTTTAGTTTGTGTCGTGCCATTTGCATTTATAAAAATGCGGTGTGGCATATTTGTATGCAATTTGGACAACCAGTCCAAGAAAAACCCTTTAAATAAAAACAAATTTCATCGATTCCCGAAAAACTTTGATTTTTGCAAACAGTGCCATAAAAAGAATATACAATATATTACCGTTAATTTAAAACACCAACTCTTAAGCCGGTTTTCCACCAAACGGACAGTTGAGTTTGGGTTTTGTTTGTGTTTTTAAAAACTTGCAAATCAAAAACAAAACTGAAACAAACCCGAAACTCTTGTTTCCATCAAGCAAACTAAGTTTTGTTCGAGTTTTGTTTTTGTTTTCGGTCCTTTTCCACTAGTTGTCGTGATTATGTCAGAAAACACTTTTTCAGTACCTAGGTATCAACCAACATGTTTAGAGAAAAAGATTTTCTTATTCTTAGTTGTGGCTGGTTTATACTTTTTCGTGAATAACTTTTGAAGAATTAAATTAATTAAAACATCAAATTATGACTAAAAATCAAAAATAGCGATGATACCCCTCTAAAATAAAATTAAATAAAATTAATATTAATATTAAGGGCTTCAATTTTCACCAAATTTTTTTTTGTCATTCTGAATGACATTCTCGATATATTTTTCAAAAAAAAAATATATATATATATATATATATATATATATATATACACATATGTCCAAAAGTTTGGAATATTGCAATATTTCTTTTTTTATTGATATTTATATATATTTTTTTTATATAGGTAAATACCATTTTATAACGACTCCGACCAATAATAAATAAACCTCAAAGACAGAGAAAATAGAGTAAATATTAACAACAGTTTTTTTAAACTACCATAGGCGTATATATATTATTTGTAAGTATTCCAAACTTTTGGACATGTGTGTATATATGTATCTATTAAACTTATCCATGACATTTTACTGCCGAGGCAGTAGGTTGTGTGCGAGGTAATTAATAATCTTTCGCCGCCATGTTTTATATACTATTTTTTTTCAAGCTCTAAATTTCGATATTTTTTTGAAATTTTGTAACCTCATTTTTAGGTTAGGTTTAACTGTCAGACGACAAAATGTCACCATTATTGTAGTACAATAATGTAGTGACTACTAGTTCAAAAGTTAAATTATTGACCGCCGAACAATAATGGTGATATTTTGTCGTCTGACAGTTAAACCTAACCTAAAAATGAGGTTATAAAATTTTAAAAAACTACATTGTAGTATTTCTATATAGACTTATGAGGAATAGAATATGAATATTATTATACACTTGGAAAAAATATGTTTCTTACTTACCTACCAATTTAGTATGAAATTCGTATCTATTCGTAACTAAATTGTAGTATTTCTATATAGACTTATGAGGAATATAATATGAATATTATTATAATATATATACACTTGGAAAAAATATGTTTCTTACTTACCTACCAATTTAGTATGAAATTCGTATCTATTCGTAACTAAATTGTAATATTTCTATATAGACTTATGAGGAATATAATATGAATATTATTATACACTTGGAAAAAATATGTTTCTTACTTACCTACCAATTTAGTATGAAATTCGTATCCAGACTAACAAAATAAAATAAAAGTCGAAAACAAAAAACACAACACGACCGTTTCCACTAAACAGACTCGAGTTTCAAAACACGTCGAAACCTTTTGATGTTACCGCTTTCGAGCGGGACTCGAAAAACAAAACTCAAACTGTCGCAAAACACGCCAGTCTTTAAAAAGTTTGCAAAAAGTTGCAGTTTTGTTTTATTCGACACGAGTTTGTGTTTTGTCCGTTTGGTGGAAAACCGGCATTAAACTACACTCCTAAATGTTATCAAGGACTGAAAGAATCTATTATCTAACACTTTCTTTAATATTAAGTTTAATAAAAACGCACTATGTCCAGATATTTCCCTATTTTCTTAAATAATATTACTATTATTCGTGTATTCGCACGGCAACTACTCATCAAGTGACGTCATGCCCGGCACGAACCAAAACTCGTCCACGGGAGCATCCAGCCCGTATTTCTATTTAAAGGTTTTTTCTTGCATCCAAATATGCCACACCGCATTTTAATAAATGCAAATGGCACGACACAAACTAAAACACAAACAAAACAAATTAACGCAACACAAAAACAATAATAAACAAACAGAACAGGTTAACACAAAGTAATACATATATGGAAATTACAACAAAACCTAGGAAAACAAAGTAAATAATAATGTTTAACCAATATTTTACAAACTTAATATTATCCATAATTATTTATATTAAATATTCAGATATAACAAAAACACAATTAGGTTTTTCATTGAATTTTCACTAGTTTTGTAATTTGTGGTCCTCGTACTCGCCAAGGCCGTCTAGGCGAAATAAGAGCAAGAAAGCAGGGCCTAATTAAAAATAATTTAATTTTTCGCATTGAAAAAACATATTTTTTCTGAAAAATTAAAAGAGCCTATTTTAGGCTCATAAAAATTTCCTTTTAGGACCCTAAATCAAAATTTCGCCATTTTAGGCTTTTAGGCAAAAACAAAGGGGTGTCAAACGCTTTATTTTTAAGTTTAGGATTAATATCAATGTCCCAAACGAATGCCTGAAATAGAAACGAAAAGGCATTTTGCCTAAAATCCGGTCCTTGTTGATAATTATTCCCGAATAAAATAATGTATAAAACTTAAATATTAGTTAAAAAATGGTGGGTACAAGCTAATTCTTATGTAAAATTTAAAAAAGTAGAACAGTTTTTGAGATATAGTCAATTCCATATTAAATTGAAAATTGACTATATCTCAAAAACTGTTCCACTTTTTTAACTTTTGACGACTTTTTCGGATTCAGGGGAAAATTTTACATAAGAAATGGCTGTTAAATTTAGGGATACCATGGTATTCCATTGTTAACCATGGCACAAGTAAAAAAGCAGCCACTATTAACTATTAAATTAGTTACTTTTGACTAATTCATTTTTAGAGAGTAAGGTTTATTTTTTAAACAAAGGGGCGGCGTTTTTATATTTGCACAAAGGCGGCCGAGGGGCTACACTGAAAAAAGTCTATGTATTATTACACAATTTCTTCTGTATTTATTACAGAACTGTTTCTTTAAATTAATATTTACGTTAAATACAATGTGAATTTACACAATATTCCGGAAATATACAGAGTTCAATGTATTTGTACAATATATCCTTTATATTTACAGAGTGCAGTTTAACTACTCATAAAAATTATTGTAATTTTACAAAGTAATATGTGACAACACAAGCATTCTGTGATTTTAGAGCTTGCTCTGGAACTTTACAGAATCCACGCAATAAACTGACCAATCAGAGAACTGATGTGGTCACGCGTGGTCACGCGATGTACATGGCGTCGCTTTATTCAGTATTCAGTGTCTTGTTATAGTTTATCTGCGTTTCTGTGAAAAGTATAGGTAAGTCAATACATTAAATTATGCACCTATATGTACTTAATATTTTTGTTAAAAAATAGTACAAGCTTTTATAGTAGGTACAATTGCAGATACCCGTTTTTTTCATAAACCATATAAATTTGGTAAATCGTTGATTAGTGCTTACAATCCCAAAACTTATTGACAGCAAACTACAGAAACAATTACCAAGAAAATATTGCTCCTAAGCGTAGCATTTTTTAAATTTTTTGTTGTGTTTTAACTAATTTTCTAACGATTTCACCGTCAAGCCGTTTTTACTCTGTTAGGAGGTGCATCGTTTACGTTTTCGTCGACCCACAATACATGTTTACCTATAGGTAGGTACTTTTTAGGGTAATTATTATTAAAATAATGATAATAATATGATATGATGACATAAATAATACATGTTACTTGTTACATTTTCTAAATAAAAATTGTAAATGTTTTCTTTTTAAGTTTTACTTACCTGCCAACCTTTTTTATTTATTTTGTTAATAATAATATCAG